TGCTGAACCTGCACAGACCTGGGGTCACCCCAAACCCCTGGGGAGCCCTTTGGGGGGAGCATCCCCCACGTGTGGCTGCACTGGAGAACGAGGAGCAAGGGAGAAATCCCAGTGATGCCAGACCTGCCCCTGCCCACTGGGAATGGGCTGTGACCTTCGGCCACTCGCAGTGGGGGGATCTGTGCTCCCACCCTGTGTCCCCAGAGCAGAGCCTGGAAACTCCTCCATGCCCCAGCACCATCCCCACAGGGCTGGGACAGGCTCAGGGGGCCCAGGGGCTGCACAGGGCAGAGCTGAGGAAGGTTAAGGCCAAGGAGCAGCAGCATCACACCAACAAACATGTCCTTCCCCAGCTGTCCTCGTCACCCTGAGCCAGACAGAGCCCCAAGGCATTGGGGACAGGAGCACAGGAACAACTCAGACACCACGAGGAGCCAAGGACATCACTGGCTGCCTCCACTGGGACTCTCACCCTCCGTCAGGGTCTTGAAATCCATGGACAGGGCCAGCTCCTCGGCCAGGGGTGGTCGCTTCCACTCCTCCCGTGTCACCACGTAGCCCACCACCAGCCCAAAGGCCACCAGCAGCACCCCCAGGGTGTTGGCCAGGACCCCCTCAGGCACAAAGTGGCTGTAGGAATTGCTGTGGGGGCAGAGAGGGATGCTCAAGCCTTGAGGTTTGGGTGGTCTGTTCCTACCCTGCTTTGGATCCCCATCCTCATCATCCTCATCCTTGAGGCACACACCTTGGGAAAGGTCCCTCAAATCAGAGCCAGGGGAGTGCTCAGGTGCTGCTTATTTTTGGGAGAGACACCTGGTGACATCCAGAGGGAGGTGAATCCTGGAGTGTCCCATGGCCCCACAGTGTTGGCACTGGGGGTGACCCCAATGTGCCACTGTGTCCTCCAGCTGTGAGAGCTTGAGCTGGCACTGGGGGTGACCCCAGTGTGCCCCTGTGTCCTCCAGCTGTGAGAGCTTGAGGACCTGAGCATCCCATGGGGGGTCTGCAAACACCCAACTGCAGGGAGGTGACACTGGGTAATTCATCCCTGTTCCCAAGGAAAGCTGTCTCAGGATCCAGCCCTTGTTAAACATCCTGTGGGAAGTGACTCAGCAGCAAGAACCAAAGAGCTCGAGGGGAGATTGATGAGCTACAATGTGAGCAGGGACTGAGTGAGTGAGTCTGCCCCGTGGGGCTGCAGCAGCTGGATCTAGGGATCAGGAGATATGGGGGGGTTACCACCCCCTCCAGCTTGGTCACCCACCTGATGTTGAAGAGGAGCATCTCGGTGATGCCCAGCAAGCAGGAGGTGATGGACAGGATGAAGAGGACCATGCCAAAGAAAACGTGCTGGGGTTTGTACCGGCTGCGCAGCGAGAAGGAGGCACCAGGGAGCAGGAAGAAACCACAGCCCAGGAGCCACTGTGAGGACATGGGGACGTCATGGGCCCTGCAGAGTCCCATCCCAGAGGGTCCAGGGTCTCCCATCCCTCACCTGCAGGAGGTAGAGCACGAAGGCAGCCATGCCACACCAGGAGTGCAGGCTGTACATGTTGGGGATGCCCTTGGCACGGTGGGACTCGAAGACAGCGATGATCCCTGCAGAGAGAAACCTGTCACCACCAGGGCCACGTCCTGCCCTTTCCACCCAGCCCAGCCCCGTGCTGACCCACGAGGGCGACGAGCAGTGCCAGCGCGTGGAGCAGAGCGTGCAGAGCCTTGGTGGAACGCTTGGCCTCGTGCCTGAACACCCTGTACACCAGCAGAGCTGCAGAGAGAGAGTCCATCAGCATCCTCCCCAGCATCCCACGTCGGTGCTGCTCACACATCCTGCAGCATCTTCCCTGTGCCTTCCATCACCACTTCATCCCCTTCCCTCCCTGCCCGGCTGCAGCTCCGGAGGTGCTGGAGGTGCAGCTGGACCAGGGATGTGTCCTGGCTCACCGTCACCTTGGAGGAAAACCATGCCCAGCACCATGCAGAGGGGGTGAGCGTTGAACTGGAGGGGGCTGTGCCAGGCCACTCCGCCGCGGTAGCGCCCGAGCCAAGCGCCAGTGGTGGCCAACAAGGTCAGGCCCAGCAGCTGTGACACCACCACGTACGCCGAGAGCCCAACTGGGGTGGCTGGAGGTGAGACCCCATCCATGGCAACCTGCAGGGACAGACAGCAGGGGCAGTGACCCCCCCC